GTGGCCTCCGGTCTGCTTACCGGGGCCAGCAGGGGTCACCTCCTCCCTGGGCCTGACATTTGCTACTTTACCAGCGGCCCTGAGAGCCCCTGGTCAGCAATGCCCTGGCCGATCAAGCGTGGAGCAGGCCCTCCTCTGCCTGCCTGCACTCTAGCCCCAGCGCTTCCCTCCCTGCAGCAAATCCAGGAGCCCCGGCCAGAGGTCACCCCTCCTCATTAATGAGGCGCGGCCATTAAGACCATGCAGGGAGATTCTAGGTGTTTTCTCCTCTAGACAAGCAGTACTGTCACACAAAGCCACCCTGACAGAGTGGGGTCCCTCTGCCTTCCTGTTCGAGTTTCCATGGAACAGTCAGTCAGCAAACTGGCTAACTGTGAGCCTGACCAATGCGTCCTGCTGGGTGAGGCTAAGCACCCTGGGGTGCAAATCGAACCCCCATAAAGCCCAGCAGCCCTGGCCAAGGGCTGGGTGTAGGAGTCAGTCAGTGCATCCCGAGTACCCACTGTGTGCCCAGCACTGGTCCAGCGTCCTGACTTATGGCCCACTCAGCCTGTCTCTCCTCTGCATAAGGGCCAAGCATCTGCTCAAGGCTTGAGAATGGGGGATACCCGGGCTCACGCCAGGCAGCCACCTCCAGCCCCTGCTGGGATTCCTCCTAATTAAAGGAGAAAGGCCCCAGGGACCTGGATTGCCATGTGAGGCTGGCCCCTGAGGGCCACAGCGGGCGCCGGGCCAGGGGCTGCCAGGGAGTGAGTTCCACGCAGTCCCCTAACTCTAACCCTTCTCCCGCTCTCCAGGCTGAGACCCTAGCTGAGCTGTATGGACCCTTCCTCTTCCGCAAGCCAAGTCCCACTCACTTCGGCCTGAGCCCCTGCCTGGGCTTCCTGCACCATCCACAGCACTGCACGCTGGGCAGGGCCCTGCAGGGGCAGTGGCCTCTCCTGGCCCTACCTTGGATCAGCCAGCTCTGGCTACGTGAAGCCAGGCCCCGCCCTCAGCTGAGGAATAAAATTCAGTCTCTCCAGCTGCCCAAGAAAGTCACCATCCAGGGTCTGCCTCCTCAGCCCGTGTGCCCGGGTCAGAAACATGCTGGGCTCATCTCCCCACTGGGTGCTAGAGACATAAAAAGTGGGGTGTAGATGCCCCATGGAGGGTTTCACTGGCATTCACCTTGGATAGAAGAAGCAACACACAAGCTGCCAAGCCTGTCACCCCACACACGCTGAGCCTGGGCTCGGCTGTCACCACCCTGCCCTGTGCAGGGCTTATCCCGACTGCCCCTGGTGTCCCTGTTCCTCTCTGAAGTGCCATTCGCTCAGTGACCTGACTGCCAGCACAGCTGACTCTGTGTTCACAGACATGACCAGCCACCAGTGGGAAAATCCCAGAAAGAAACTGCATTTCCTCTGAGCACGCTCCACTTTCTTGGTCATTGTACCCTTCTGACACCGGGACAGCCACGTATGTCACATTCACCCAGAACCAGGTATTCTAAGTCACCTAGGCTGATCAAAGCACCCAGGAGTGTGGCCTAGGGTTCACGTGCTGCATGTCACATGGGGGACCTGTGTCACTGCAGGTTTGGGCATCTGTGGAAGTCCTGGAACCAGTTTCCCCATGCAAACAGAAGAATACCATACCCCAAGAGCACACTCACTTTCCAGATGCTTCCAGAGCCCAAACCACCACAGAGGACAGGAGCTGTCCGCACACAGATCGCAAGGGTCAGGGTCCACCCTGCGCAGAGCCTGGGATGCACTCAGTGTTACTTCCTGAAAATCGCTGCTCACTGAGCTTCAGGGCCAACCTACCTCCAGGGGTGTCCACAGAGCAGCCCTGGGGACCTCAGATCACAGGGGCTACCTCCAAAAGACACAAACACAGGCTCAGGTGCTTTTAGATCCAAAGGCAGCCCAAGCCACATCGCCACTGTCACAGCCTGTTCAGTCCATTCTCTGGTTGGTCCATGCAGGTAGGCTGCTCCTCATGTGATGCCAACTGTGTCACCGAGAGAACCAATCAGAACTTAGACCTGAGGCTTCCTGAGGAGAGCAGAGGAGGCTTCTGATCTCAGCTCACCTTGAGGGAAATGCCAGTGTCAACTGCTCAGAGAAACCAGAGACAGGAGGAGCCTGGGAGGAGCCAGGCAGAGCCCGAGAGGGGAGCTTGCTGGAGGCAAGGCCCAGAATGGGGTCAGGGACGCAGAAAGAGAGTCCTCCCAGCCCAGGGGGATTCAATGAGGGCAGGCCACCAGCCAGTGCCACCACACATGTACCAGGTTGGCCCAAAGAGTCGGGTCAACAGCTAGAGGATGTGATTGTGATGTGCTGAAGATGTGTGAACCTCTCCCCATGAATGGGGCCTTGGGAGAGACAAGGTCTAGAGGACGCAGCCCTCATGGGGATGGGACTGAGCCCCGATGAATGAACCCAAGAGGGAGCGAGCTCTTTCCAGCACGGTAAGGCACCAGGAGAAGGTGGCCTTCGCCATACCCAACTCCAGAGCCCAGGGGGATGTCTTGGTTGTTTGCAATCCAGCCATCTGTGGTGGTACTTTGTTATGACTACTCCAAAGAATGAAGCTGAGAATGCTCTGATTTAAAAAATGCAAATTTCTAGCAGCTTCTAAAAATTCCAAAATTCTAGCAGTGCTGGGTCCTTCCTTGTTCCCACTTAGCCAAAAGTCAGCCCTAAGTGGCAAATCTCCCCTGTCCCCACCTCAGCGTCATCCTGTGTGGCTGTTTATGATGGCGGAGAAGTGGATATTCAACCCACTGCTCCCCCTAAGATGGGAGGGTGGGAAACAGGGATGGGGTCCCCGTCCCCGGGACAGTGAACTGGAGCACATTTGCACTTGGGGGAGCAAAGACATGTCTACCCAGGCCGCTCTACTCAGGAGTTCCCAGCTCTGGGGACATCTCAGCACCTTGTTTTTGTGGACAGGCCAGAGAGGGGGTCTCATGGGGACATGACACAGGCCACTCGAGCACAAAGACGCCCAGCTTTGTGAGTGGGCGGTGATCCCTGCCCTGCGTCTGCAGGTCCCTGTGCATCCCCAGGCCCCCTGCAGCAATGCAGTGTCAAAGGAAGTTCATCTTCTTCAAGGCAGCTCCAAGGCAGACTCCAGGGGTCCCAGCCGAGCTCCAGATACTTAGGGAAGGTGCCCAGGAGAGGACAGAGGGAAAGGGATCGAGTCACAGCCCAGCTGGCCCGGTCTAACTGCTCTGGGCCCAAGGACCAGCCCCGAATCTGTCTCCCGTGACCTCTCCCACTTCACTGACCTGACACCTAGGCTTCTAGCTCCTTCCAGCCCTATCAGGGTTCAGCAGACACCCCAAAGCCAGGAGACAAGGGAACAACTTCCTACTCACGGGACCAGCACAGGGCAACCCAGGCTCATATATTAAAGGCACGGATACTCTTAACTGCGCTGGCCCTCGCTGACAGGGCTGATGGACAGTTAGATGTGGGATTTGCACGGCAGCCAGCACCAGCCCCTTGGATGACACCCAAACCCCACTGGTCATCTCCTCCTGGGACCCACTGGCCACCCCACTTCTGCACAGGCCACATCGCCCTTCTCTGAATGCTTGGGTTTAGATTTTTTCAGATTTGGGAACACTTGCATATATACATATATGGATACTCCGAATGGGACCCAAGTCTAAGCACAAGATTCATCCACGCTTCCCACAGACTTGCACATGTAGCCTGAAGGTAATTCTATGTGCTAGTTTAGTGCACTTGCCCTGCGACAGCCACCTGTCACATGAGGTCAGGTGCAGAGGTCTCTCACAGCAACCCACCAGCACTCTCAAAGCGTTAGATGTGGCAGCCTTTCAGATTTCAGATCAGTAGAGGAGGGATGTCCAGTGTGTCCTGCCAGACTGTCCAGCAGGGTGCTCCGGGAGGCCAGGGAGCAGGGACCTTAGAGCTCAGCCTCAAGCACCCACCCAGTGCTCTGTGCCCAGGCATCCCCCAGCACTGTGGACTACCTGGAGTGCCACCTCCAACCCAGGGTTGGCAACCAGGACCTTCAAGGCCTGGGCTTCACCCCTCCAGCACCCAGCACAGCACCCCGACCCTTCTCCCATGCACACCCCGCAGCAGCCAAGCTGTCCTCCAGTGTGCTCCGTGCTTCTCCGGAGCCAGGCACACTTTGCACCCAGATGCCCTTCCCACAGGGTCCCTAGGGGGCTCCACATGGCTGCACTTTGCTTCCACAGTGGCAATGCAGTGCCACCCCGGGGGAGGGGGCCCAACCCACCTGCCAGAGAGGAGAGAGACCCCAGACTCCAGCACAGCAGAAGCAGACACCCCCTGTCCACTGTCTTCTCCCTGCACTCAGACCTCAGAGACAGACACCCCATACCCTAAGACCCACTGCGGGACTCAGCTCTGTTCCAAGACCATGCCAGTGCCCAGCCTGATCCTTGGACAAACTGCTCTGTGCCAGGAGTTACCACAGATTCAACTCTTTCTTGGAGGGAAAGTGCCCCTGACATCCCCACAGGGCAGCCCCCCTGGGGTCACCCCCTCCACGCCTCAAAGACCGTGCCTGACAGTTCCCATCCTTCATGTCAGGACAGCCACAGGGAGAAAATCCTGGCAAGCCACAAATCCTCAGTCTCAACCTTAAGCACTGGAGTCCCTGGGGAAGGCAAGCATGCCAGCGGCACAGACCCCAGGGAGTCCTCCGTAGCAGGGGGCTACCGAGTCCTCCAGGGGGCACCTAAAACTGCAGCCGGGGACGGGAAAGAAGCTGCAGTCTAGCAGTGGTCACTCTGCAGAAATGACCCCAGGACAAGCCCTCTGTCTGTTGGGAGGACACTTGACAACACATTCAACAGCATGCTTGGGTGTGCAGCGGTCAGTGGGGGACACACCGTGACGCTGGCTGTCACAGAGAGCAGCAGAAGGGAGCCAATGGCAGGCGGGGCTGGGTTGACTCCCACCCTCCACCAGATGGCCAGACCAGGCCACGGGCTGGAACAGACTAAC